TGGGTGACTGAACCGGCTCGGATGTGCCTGCACCGGTTCGGGAACACGTCCAGCAGTTTGGTTTTTTACGAGCTGGGCTATTTTGAGGCGAAGGGCCGGGTCAGGAGAGGGGACCGGGTTTGGATGCTGGCCTTCGGAACTGGGTTTAAGGCCTGCAGCGTGGTGTGGCGCGCACTCGGGAATGCGCCGGTGGTGCCGGACAATCCGTGGAAGGATTGCATTCATAGGTACCCGCAGCGGTCTGTGTAGCGATTTTGGGCCCGTTTACTCTTTGGATTGCACGTTTTGCACTCTTATTCAAAAAAATAAGTTCTATTTTTACACCAAATGGGTCGAACCCCACGGGCCACGTTTCAAGATAAGTTATTTTTTCCTGAAACGCACAAGCTGTCCCAAACACATCCCAAGTTAAATTTTATGAAGATTTTCTTGGGTTATGCGGACTATGCTTAAAAATGATTGAGGTTAGTGACTTGAAAGAACTTATTAAAGTATGTAACATTTGATGTGAGTAGCTTTCATGGTTTGAATATATTTTTTATAGACAACTCATTAGATGGTATAGTACTATTATTATCTTTATTACAATTTTTCAAGTAAAAATAATGAAAGTTAAGTGGAATAAATCTATGGTCATGCCCAATACATGAACATTCAAGCCATGATATAAAAATTACGTGCTATGTTGCTAGCACTTTGATATTGAATCTATTATCTAGTGCCAATAAAGTTTTTGTTATATGTTGATTATCAACTTTCAAAATTTTGTTAGTTATGGAAAAAAGTTGGGATAAAGACATGCTAATTGTGTTAAATTTCTACCAAAAATATATGGTGACTCGTACAATGTTAGATCCGAAGACAAAATTGTTCGTGATTGAGTAAAGTGTTTGTTCTTTTACATGAAAAGTAGCTTAAGATGACTAAACTTGATTAAATAAAAGAGAACTATGTAAATGTTAGGATTTTGGTGGGTTTTGTAAGATAAATTAGACAATGACTTATTTAGAGTTAACAAAGAATATGTGATTAAAGATGATGATTTATTTAAGGTTATTCGACTTTATTTTTCTAAATAATGATTGCATAAATTATTTTCTTCTATAATTACATGCTCGAGGTGCAATTGAAAATATGATGAAAAAAAGACGAGTATTGCAATGATTGAGGTTACATATTTTTTTGTTAAGTTTGAAATAAGAAGAAGCATGAATTATTTCCTAATGTTGAACTTATCAAATTGTATGGGATAGAATAAAATATACTTGACTGTACACACTTTTATGGATTAAATATAATATTAGGGAGAATGCTAGTATGGATCACATGTTAGGTTACAATGAGTGTTAAGGAAAACAAGATTCATTTTTTGCAAAGATAGAACTTTCAAAAAAGGGGCAATTGCATAGTGACCGCCCGAAACTCCGTATTTACAAATCAACCACCCTCTTTCATTCATTTTTCAAGTTCTCATTCAAATATCAAAATGAATGGTAAAACCCCAACCCATATTTTTCATTTCTTATCATTCTAGTTAGATCATGGCACGGATGCATGCATCAACACGGTAGTTCAAAAAAATCACCTAGGTGATTAATTTGTAAACATTGATGTTTCAGCTGGTCTGTATGTAATTATCCATTAAAAAAGATAATGCAAGTCATACTATGTCATAAATGGTTGATACATCTTACATTGCTAAAAAGTATCAATTGCTTATGATTATGATGCAAAATCATTGAAATTATTTCCAGCGAACTCTATGGAAGAAATTAAGAACACAACTCATGTTTCAACTGTTCATCATTAATAAATTGATATTCAAACAAAGAAAATATTAGTATAGGAGATTAGTTATATTTTGTATAGTATAACACACATCTAGTGAAAATTGAATTCATGTTGACTTTGCATACAATTCATTTGCCAATAGGTATATATGCATGTAGTGGCAAAGCTAGAAATGTTTCAAAGAGGGCACATAATAGTTTTTTTTTTTTTTTTTCAAAATTCCCTTGAAATTTTCATCCAAGCAAGGGATCGATTTAGCGGTTTGGTTTTTAAAAAAAGTTATTTGAATCTATTAATATAGGAAGGAGAAGTATATAATACTCCAGATAGGCTTTGAGCTTATCATAGACAACAACATTGGTCGAATATAAAGTAATAATGAGGAAGAAAGATCAAAGGAAAAAAGATGGGTACAATCTTGCATTTAAACTAAGGGAATGCTAACCATGAAGCATATTTATATCATAGAAATTTACCTGACAAGGATCCTCCGTTGAGTGCTAACCCACCTATTTATAATGAATGACAATGAAAAAATAGGAATTAAGTTGTTTATATGGATGTCTTTCCAAAAAAAAAATGTCAAGCCACCAATGTTTTGGGTGCAAATCGGAAGTTCAACATTGGATTAATAGGGATGAAAAATACAAACAAAGCCAAGAGACACGGGAGAATATTTTTTTTTTTTAAATTGCTGGCTTTTATACACAAATGTTTGGTATATCCCAAAAGAGGAATAGTAGGAAACCAATCCAACCTCACAACAAATTAAAAAAAATGTTCTTTTCATGTCATTTCAATGGAACCCGACAAGATAATATTATAAAGTAGTAATAATTTCATCAATCAAAAGCTTAAAAAAAATATTAAAAACATTAAAACAGACAAAATCTCATGATTAAAAATTTTAAAAAAATATATATATCAAGTGAAACAAAAAAGAACAAATAATGGGCCTGAAACCTTTAATAGCTTGAGAAGGGGGTGAAGAGAATGAGAGACAAAGATAAACCTTTTTTAAGAACAGCGACATCTCACTTTTCCTCTTTTGGAAAGTTTCCTCATTGATGGAGTTGAAATGGAGTGACGGTATATCTTTCAACTCTCTCTTTCACTCTTTCTCTCTCTTTTGCTCGCTCATTTTTTGCTTTTTTTCCCTCCGTTTCTTTTTACAAGAGGGAGAAACTTGGTGGGCCGAAGGAGATCTGACAATGCCTATGTAGATTTAACAATAATTGACAACGACCACATCATTGGAACCACTCACACTTCTTTCCTAAGCTCCTTCAAGTAAAGCCCTGCTTCCATCCAAATTAAACAATGAAATCCTAAAAGCAAAGCAGTCAATGTAACAAAATTCACGCAATCAGTGCGAATAAGAGTCCAGTGCATGGAAAAATGAATCAGAAGACCTATTATTTTCTAAAAAGTTTTGAGTGTGTGTGACTCTATTTGAACTTAGCCAACGACCCTGAAAGCACTTGAATTGAGGTCATTAAGTTAGCAAAATCCTTAATAAACTACTTATGAAAGGGTCTAACAAATCCTGTGCGGTTATGAAAATTATGCTCCAAATGATAAAAATGCCCCTCCTTAAAAAGTTATAAATAAAATCTGCTCGCTTTTTTTGAACTTAGCCAACGACCCTGAAAGCACTTGAATTGAGGTCATTAAGTTACCCATATCCTTAATAAACTACTTATGAAAGGGTCCAACAAGTTTTGTCTGATCTGGCGGTTATGAAAATTATGCTCCAAATGATAAAAATGCCCCTCCATAAAAAGTTATAAATAAATCTACTTGCTTTTTTTGGAGAAAGAGGGCATGAAGAGGAGATGTGAAATTCCAAAACCTACTTTAGAGAGAATACCTAACGAGTAACCACCAGGCTTTGTAACCACAGGTTACTGTCGAACACTGCCAGCCATCACCACCTATTGTCATCGATCATTGGTCATTGATTACCATTACTGGTAACAGTAGTAGTCATACTACGATTGTGTTAAAGTTTTTTAACACATATATTTTTAGCTATATAAAAACAAGTCTGGTTTTTAGTGTAAGATTGTAACCTTATCATGGGAGAAGTGACTTTTTTTTTTCCTTAAAGAATTTTTTTCTCGTTACAATTTAGGTGCCTCTCTTCGTTATATTTTCATATGTATATGTGTATGATAAATTTTTTTATAATGCTAAAATGATCAATCACTACTCTGTCGCCTTGAAATTTATGACAATCAATAGTTTTGCATTGTATATGAAAAAATGAAGTTCGATTTATAGAAGTCTAACTTATTCAATTACTAACATATGCAATACAAGAGCTTCTCACTCTAATACTCACCATTCTAAGGCAAATTTCTGAAGTCTAGGATGTCATGCCTCTACTTTATTTCCCAATGATATAGATCACTCAACCAGCAGAAGAACTTACTTTGCACCTCTTAAAGATCATATATGAAGAATGGAGGCATCTTGAAATTGGATTCTCCGACTTTTACATGTGGTTCGATAACCAATGGTAGTGCAAATTAATTGGAAGGATGTAGTTACCTCAAAATTCATGAATTTAGATACACATTTATCACCGCCTCAACGCATTGAAGTTCTTCCTTAAGTTGTTGAACTTCTTGACACTAATAGTGTTGGCATCAATTTTTAGATGTCACGTGTGTATGATGTCTACACAAATGACTCAAAACTACTAATTACTCATTTGTATTGTTCTTCATCTCTAGACATCCATCTAGGCATCATGGTATGTGTTCAAGGCATAGAAACAATGTCAACAGTGATTCAGCCTTACCCAGGAGAGCTCACTAATTACCCATATTAATGTTTATAGACCATGCACCATTGACCGACCTTCGATATACCCAGTGATTTAGAGAATAAATATTACATTTAGAGCTTTTCACGATTTAGCAATACACGCTAGGTATTTTATGCAAATGTGTGTATCGTTCAAGTAATATTAGAACATACCCAGTGATTTAGAGAATAAATATTACATTTAGGGCTTTTCATGATTTAGCACTACAACGCTAGGTATTTTATTCAAATGTGTGTATCGTTCAAGTAATATTAGAACTTAATTATATTTTTTGTACATAAATAATTTTATGCCCTAAGCTTCTTATATACTTCGGTTAGTGCGTTTATGCTTAGTTTCAGAATGTCAAATATTGCTATTTCTCGTGATGGTTTAGGATGGTCGAGGCAAAGGAACGGACTTCTATGCAATTATTTCCTTCAGATATGCAGGCTGTTGTGAAGCAAAGCAAAGCTCTAGAGAAGGAATTGCTGTCTCTCGAACTGAATCTTTCTTTCATGAACAAGTAATAGAATGTATTGTAAGTACCTAAAACTGATCATCACATCACAGTAGGGAACTTACCTTTGTTTATTTTGCCTTTGCAGTCGACTTTGTTCTTAGTGCGTGTTGCTATAACCATTAAATAACAACAGATCACATGCTTGCTCTATAGCTCTTTATTCCTGTAACTTGACAAAAGACATAGTTTGTAAACAATTATGGAATAGAAAGTGTTTGCTACTTGTAGATTAATTCATGGAACAATAAAGTAATCAATTATTGATCAACTGGCGAGAAGAATTCTGAACAAACAAAACAAATATAAGAGCTTGGAAACAAAATGATGAATTGATGAATCAAAAGGAACAACTCTTAGAAGAGATTTAGCATATCTATTGTGGTAACATGTGAAGCACAATCATCTCGCATTAAGCACTGTCTTATGCGCGCTCAATATTCGGCTGGTTTTCTGCTAATTATGAATCATTACATTTTATGATGCAGCTGTACGAGAAAGAAAGATTATGAGAATTCTTGCACAGGTCAATTAAATCACAATAACATAGGAAATAGTGCTCAGTCTGGCTAATTTATGTGCATCAATTGTGAGCCCCACGGGCATTTACATCCTTTTTGCTGCCTTAATCCTGATAACTAGTGATTTCTCTACCTCCTTTGGTCTATTTAACAAGTGATAGCAAGAGCGAAATTTGTCTTTCGCTGCTAAGCAGTGATTTCGATTCATGCAGAACATATATCATTTTAAGAAGAGCACATCAGAGTTTATGAAATTTATAGCAGATGGTAAGTTGTAGAACATGTATAATTTATCCCTGATACAGTACTTTGTATTCATAATTCTGTTGAACAAACAAATTTCAAATCTTTTTTGTGCCATTGTTTTTCCACATTAATTGAGCGGTTCGAAAATCCTTACAATCACGGGAGTGAATATCTCGCTATCACAAGACATTCTAGACTATCTCAAAACTCTCGTATAATGAAATGCTGTTTTTAAGTTCAGGGTCTCTTTAAAGGTAGATCTTCCATGGAAACCCTAAAAATGTGTTTTGAAAGAAAAGAACAATCCGAAATTTTCATGAAATAATGTTAGAATTTCAATATGAAAATATATTGCAAGAAGAAACTAACGCTTCTCAGGTACAAAGACCGAATATAATTGATCTACAATCAAATAATACCACCACATTAAAAAACTGAAGTTCAAACAAAAAAAAAAAAAAACAAATAGAGAAGTGCAACTCAAGTCAACAACTTCCTCGGCGAAATCCGACGAACTATAGCGCCGGCAGCACTGCCACCAGCACTCCCCTTCTGCCCAGCTGGCCATCTCCGGCTACGAGTGCGAGAGGAAACACTAATTTCGACCTCCCTATTCTCCATCTTCTCCGGAGAAACACTATCCATCTCCTCACTCCGAACACTCTTGCTCTTCTCCTCAACAGCAACCTTCTCAAATTCGTCCATCAGCTTTCTCGCCCTCTTCTTCTTCGGAGGCGGTGATGGTGTAACGGGAGCGACCTCTTCTGAAGACTTGGTCTGCTCCGAATCAAGAGATTTCAGTGAGGAAGGTTTCACGCCGAAGCTACGAATCTTATCGCCAGCCTTCTTTCTGCGAGTACGATCTTGCTGCACCCTGAGCTTCTTGATGGATCCCTCGATGCGGCCCTGGAGGCGATTGCGCTGGAAACTGAGTCCGCCCATCGACCAGTGCGCTTCATTGGCCCAGGAGAGGAGAGGATCCATGACAGGCACAGGAGGATCCACGCGCACGTCGTTCAGCTTGACGTCGGAGAAGAAGCGCGGTCGAGGGAGACTGCTCCCATAGAACTTCCCGGGTCCCAAAGCCACAACCATGTAGATTAGACGGGGATCGTGAAAGGTAGAAGATCTTCCCGGGTCCCAAAGCCACAACCATGTAGATTAGATGGGGATCGTGAAAGGTAGAAGATCAGGAGAGGAGAGGTTTGATGTGTGCGATCGGAGTTGGGGGGTATTTATGCGGAGTAAAGATTTGGCGGGAATTTTTGGCGCGGGATTTTTTTGGCGGTATAGCGGTGGGAAATTGAAGAGCGCGCGCTTGGAAAGAGATTTATTCCCGCTCTTTTTTATTAATTTATAATTTAAACAATTTAAATATCTTTAAAATAAAAGGCAATTAAGTGATTCTTAAATTCTTTTTTTTACATTTATCTAATTTAAAGGGAGTGTTTGGAAGCATATATTTTAAGAGGATGAATGATTGAAAAAATAGGAAGTTAAATCTGATTCTGTTCCATCCATTTTTTTGTTTGTTCCATCTATTTTTGAAGATGTACATCCGAAAAAGCCATCTAGGGATCTCGAAGCAGTTTGACGGTCAAGATCAAATGCTAGTTTGTATGAAACCGATTAGTTTGAGTGGTCATAGACGATCACCCATCTTAGGTTGACCGACTGAAGACCTATATAGGCAGACCGAAAGTAGAAAACCTTTCCCAACTAAGCTGAGGATTGGCATCTCCACCAACCTCGCACTTATCATTATACACTGTCTCAAAACTCCAATTCAAAATCACCAAGAAACTGGCTAGCCAACCAACTCGCACTTATCATTATACACTGTCTCAAAACTCCACTTCAAAATCACCAAGAAACTGGCTAGCCACACTGGGGATGGCTACGTATCACACTCAAAGCCGACCGACTTCCTAAGGAAAAGATCGCCTTCACCCAAGAAAAATAGTAAGTCGATGCCAACTTGGTCGATCAATTCAAGAACTTCTCGAGGCCTATGAATATCAAAAGATGCCTCAATCAGTTACAAATACAAAAGAACACGAAAAAAAGATAATAATATTATTGTAATCCTCTCATTAAAGCAAAGACATATATGTAATTTTCTACTCAATGACTTTCTATTCCCTAAAAATTGGAGGTCCAGTGCATACAAAAGGGGTTTTTTGGCTCCAATGTTCTCTTGTAACATTTACTTACATATATAAAATGGGTTGAAGAGCCCGGAAACACTCAATTCAACTCTATACTTTCATTATATCTATTTGTGTCGCTCTATTTCTCTCTCTGATTTCTATCATCATGATGTTCGATCATCTCAGGATAAATTTGAATTGAAGAGAAGAGAACTCTAAATTTATTAAATTGGAATATTTGATAAATTTAAAATTTTAATTTGAAGAGAAAATAGTTAGTATAGAATGTCAGCACACTGAATTAAGCACTATTCTGAATTTAACAATCCAGCACAGCCAAACACCCTCAAAATATTATAATGGACTCAAAAATCCGAGGTCCATCGCGCCTTCGCTGCTCTCCCTTCCATTTCGCAGCTCTTCTGCTTTCAAGTTCTTACATCGATTTGTAGTTGTCAATCAAGAATTTGTGATAGACAAGAGGAAGGGATGGGATTGGTTGATTCGCCGGCTACGGGAATGGCGGAGCAACTGGAGTGGGATGATCTGGAGAGCAGTTTGTTGGAGGTGAATGGCAGAGGAAGCGCGAAAAGCACCGAGCACATCCGAATCTGATCCATCTTGGCTTCCCTCAACTATGTGCTTCCGGGGTATGGCGAGGAAGTTATTGCAGTAACTCTGATCTCTCGATGTTATATATTTTTATAATTAATCATAATCGAGGCGGCTGGAATGCCTGAATTTGACGATCTGTTCCTGCTTTGATTTTCTTATATAAAATAAGTGAATTTAAATGAGCAGCATACCGATGAGCGTTGAGTTTTCTTTATCGAGTGTTCTTGTTTGCTTACACAAATAGATCTGTGTAAGAAGGGGTGGATCACCAGCTATTGCCTAATTTGGTTTTTATGTGATGAATGCTTCTCCAAACCAAACTGTGGCAGCATTGGAATTTAGAGTCAAGTTGAAGGATCACTTCTATCCAAGTAAATGAATTGATTATTGAAATACATTTGTATTACATCAAATTTGAATTAAGTGAAATGTGATCTTTGATTGAAGTAGATCAAAATTAAATGAAAAGGCATGTACATACATTTTTATAAATATGCACATATCTGTAAGTATTTAAAATTTAAATTAATGTATTATATTCAAATGTTGTGGATAGACTTTGTTGAATAAAAAATATCATATGGATCACACCCTAGGAGCGGAACATTGGTCAGATGAGAGTAATAGAGAGAGAGAAAGAGAAGTAGAGTGCACGATAATACAACTTCTTCTTGAAGAAATCATCCCTTATTTATAGATCATAGAGGGTGTCTCCGAAGTTACATGTTTGTTCATATTTTAATATGAACGTTACAAATAATTAATGCACCATTATACCTTTACATATTTGTAACTAAATTTGAAATTCTTTGATATTTGTAATCGATGTTTCGTATTCATAAATGTTTAAAGTTGGGTATTAATGGCCCATTGATGTTAGCATTTGATTGTCTCATAATCATTTGATCAGTTGGAAAGCCTTTTTAAGAGAACCCTCCATAGAGATCTTCTTATCGTTGAGATGAACTTAGACCATCAGGTTGGAAAGCCTTTTTAAGAGAACCCTCCATAGAGATCTTATCGTTGAGATGAACTTAGACCATCAGGTTGATGGTGCGTCGCCGTAATTTGAGGGGTAGCTCTTCTTCGGACAAGTGGTCATCATAGAGGATTAAAAAGACGTTATAGGGAACGATCATTTGGTTCTATTTGGGAAAAATCTCATAGTTAGTTGAGGGAGTTGATTACACATGACTTTCTCTCAGATCAGGTTCATAATGTGTCTTCACTAGAGTGTGCTTTCCTTTGGTCGGTCCATTATTCAAATCAAATGAAATGATGTTTGACGCCTCTATCTTTCAACTATTCTGATGTAGTCTTTTCGTATATTCTTAACGATCCATTGAATTTCTTCATGATTCGTGTGATCACATTTTCATAGTACATATTTAGTTTCATGATTCTCCAATATAGTTGAAAATGACAACTGCAATAAGAATAAGAGAAAATGAACAAATTATTTATTACTGCATAATAAATACTTCTAACAATTGTACTCACTTGATTTCTATGTCAGTATTGCCTATAACTATGGCGTGGACATCATTTTTCTATCACTATTTCTGAATTTTCTACTCTTCAGTTGGTTTTACAAAGGGATAGTGATTGCGAACGGTAAAAAACCGACAAACAAGGAGGTTATGTTGAGAGCCTTTGGGGTCTCAACTGATAAAATCTACCCTCATGTGGGCAAGAAAATGAAGAAGCCTGAGAGCACTTTGTCGGCTCTCAATGATTGCGAACGGTAAAAAACCGACAAACAAGGAGGCTATGTTGAGAGCCTTTAAGGTCTCAACTGATAAAATCTACCCTCACGTGGGCAAGAAAAAGAAGAAGCCTGAGAGCACTTTGTCGGCTCTCATGAAGAAATCTATGGAGGTGAATTATTATACTAAATTCTTTAGTTGAAGTAATAGTTTCAAATTCACAAAGTTTATTTTCTTAGTTAAGATATCCTTGATGAACTAAACATAACTAGGCATCCATTAAACAACTTCAATAGAGGAAATGTGAATAGTTATATTTTCAAAAACCTCTATAAATCTAAAAAAATTATTGGACCAACTTTTGTTTTTGAAGTCTATAACAGAAACTTTATGATGGTCCTTCAACTTCCTTCTTAATTAGTCTTTATTCTTTCAAGTTTTCTACAAGCTGTTCATTAGGTTCTCAAATTTAAAGTTAGGTTTTTCTAACTTGTACTCCTCTCCAGTTAACTCGTGTACATTCTTTCCCCTTATTCTTATGGAGCATCTATGTGTTGCTTGGTAAATTCTCCTGTATCCTATTATTTGAAGAATTTCCAAACTACCCTAATTAATTTTCAATGTTCCTAATAGTCATAACTTAAACTTATAATTAATTTTTCTTCTTACATCATAAATTCTTCCAAAGATAAATTCTTCTCTTTAAATTGATTGTTTAAGGTGAAAACTTAAGGATATTTACATTTAAGATTGGAAAAAAAAATATTTTGCTTGTTCTATTTGCCTAAAAGGTTTGGTTGGTTATTAGGCCAATTATTATTCCTAATATTTTGATTATTATTATAGTAAAAAGTAGTGTAATTTTTTTTACTTGGATTTTAAGTGTTTAAGTGGAGATTATTTTGTCTATTTGTGATTAAATTTATTGATTCTACATTTGGAAGGCAAGGTTCACATATTGGTTCATAAATGTTTTCCTCAATTATAGGTGCTACTTGACTCTAATTTGAGTGTAAGTTGATTAATTTCTAAAAAAATGTAGCTATATGTGCAGTTAATATAAGTAACACGTTTACATGTTATGGACACTAGCCACATTTTAAGGGCTAACCTATTATGAAAGCCATTGGCAATTATTTGTAAATATTTCTTCAATCAAGGCATGACTCAAGCTTAGATAATTGAGATCCACCAACTATAACATCTCTGATTAATCTCAATTATCTTACTATCTCATTATAAAAAGTTTGAATAATTAATTAATGAGGAAGGGCCAAGTGTTAAAAATTTCTTAATAACTCTTTCTTCCAAGCTAGATAGATTGAATTGTTATTTAGTTGGGTAAATGAGATTATGCCATTTTCAAACTTAACAATCTTATTAGAAAAAAATTAGAAAATATTTGGCTAATAATTTTTGTGCTAATGCAATCCACACTGATTGAGCTTGGGAGTAGTAAATTAAGTGACATCTTACTTTATCTTTTAAGTCTAACAACATCATCAGACACCACGTATGCTTGAACCTTGTAAACATTTATAAAAAAAACTTAATGTATGAATGTTCATATCTTATATAGGTGATCCCTATATTAAGGGTTTAAACTATTTGAATTACAGTTTGTTCGAGTTTAAAGTTATTGGCTTAGATAGT